AATAGAAGGGGAGAGAATCCTACCTCTTAGTAGGTTTTACTACCATAAATAATCGCCCTCACAAACGCTGCCAAACGTGGCCCTCCTCTCTCTCTCTCTCTCTCTCTCTCTCTCTCCCTCCTCTTGCCGCCTTACTTTCTGGTAAGCCTTTTGTTTACTTTACTGCTCCTCTCTCTCTCTCTCTCCCTACTCTCTCTCTCCGAGCAATTCGGAAAACCAAAACAAAAAATAAACCATTTTTTATTTTTTTATTTGTTTCCAATTTCTCATTTAAAAACAAAATTCATTCAATTTTGTCGGGTCACAATGATCAGAGAGAGCGCGGCGAATAAGATGGTGGAGTTGGAGCGAGCGCAGAATCCATGGATGAGCATGGAGCAAACGCAGTCGGTTGGGGCGGATTTCTCTGCTGCGCAGCCGCCCAGCACGTCGGACTGGCAATTGGGGGTCACCGAGCGAGCTTTCTCGGCGGCGGGGGCCGCATTTTTATCCGCGATTATCGTTAATCCGCTTGATGTTGTAAAGGTATGCCCTTTGACTTGTTGTTTTAGTCTGTTTGGTTACCCATCATTCATTGCCTTTGATTTTAATTTTATTTATTTAGGATTTAATCCAATTTAGGAGAGGGGAAGAACTGAAATGTTGAATTTTGGGTATTTTTGCTATATGGGATTTAAAATTCTACCAAAATTAAGAAAGACTGATCAAATTCTTGGTTGTTTGAGTGATTTGGAAACATGGACTTAGCAAATGTGTTTATTTGTTGTTGCAGACGAGGTTGCAAGCTCAGGCAGCTGGGGTTCCTTACTCGCATCCACTAAGTAATGTCATTAGTCGGATGTCATATTTCGGGCCAAGCATGGTATGACCGCCATACTTGTGGACAATGAGATTCTTAACCCTTTTTCGGTTTGCTTCTGTTGTTATGGTGATTTAACTGTAATCTGAAATGAAATGGTGTACATATGTCGTGTATGGTGGTTTGATAGACCATATTACTACTTGATCATGTGATAGGTTGTGTTAGTCTTGCATTGTTTTCTCGGCGTGAAACCTTATATTGTCTTGGTTTCTTCAGTTAGCTGCTATTTGTAATGTTCGTGGTACTGTGAGTACGAGGAGTTACATGTAATTATTTTTCCAATTGAAATTTCCTGAGGGTGAGCCCGCAACGGAAAGGTTGCTCCTTTGTGATCAAAAGGTCTCGGGTGCGAGTCATGAAAACAGCCTCTTTGCAAAGCAAGTGTAAGGCTACGTACGATTGACATTCCCACCACCCCCCCCCCCCAACCCTCGCAAAGCGGGAAGCCTTGTTGCCTTGGGGTCACCCCATCCTTTTTTTAATTGAAAATTGAAAATTCCCAAGGGGCTGAGATGTGTAGATATTTCTGTCCGACTATTTCATTGCAACCGCCTGGATTTTTCTTCTCTTTTCCTGCTTTTATTTTCTGTTGGTTTAGCAGAAATATATTATTCTCCTTTTTTCACTATTGCTTGTTTATTTTTGTGTGCTCAGATGTTTGCGGATCTAAGGTGTTCGCCATCATGCACGCGTGCTGGAATTCAAGGCACTGTTTCAATATGCCCTCCAGATTGCTTTCAGTACAAAGGCACATTGGATGTCTTCTACAAAATCATTAGACAGGTTGGTGGATTTGCGGCTTTGTTTTCGTTATACTAGTGATGTCAAATGTTCATGAAAAGAGAACTGTAGTTAAAAGTGTGCACCTGCTTATTCGTGATTATATTGCTTTGTTAGTTCGTGTTCGTAAAGCATGATATGTATGCATAGTGCTTATCCACGCCTGTTTAAGTAGTCACCTTCATCTTATCTGTACCTGTCTGTGATTTTAACTTTGGAGAGTGATATTGCAGGAAGGATTTGCAAGGCTATGGAGAGGCACAAATGCAGGGTTAGCCCTGGCTATTCCAACAGTAAGTTTTTAATGTTATCAGGTCTTATTTGGTTTCCTCTTGGGCATGCCATTGATCTTTCATTTATGTGACTCTCCTTTTTGTTAATCAGGTGGGAATTTACCTACCATGCTATGATGTGTTTCGCAACCGATTAGAGGAATTCACTTCTCATAATGCACCAAGTACGACAGCTTATGTCCCGCTAGTTGCCGGCTCTTTGGCACGCTCGTTAGCTTGTGCAACTTGCTATCCTATTGAACTTGCTAGAACTCGCATGCAGGTAACTTAGAACTTTAGAACTTCATATTAAGCTTAATTTCATTCTACTTTCATATTATAGATGTTTCTTAGATTTGTTTTCGCAAATTTTGGTCTGGCTTTCAGAGCCGAGTTGTGGAGGCTTCTCATACCTTTATTTATTTATTTATTTATTTAATTTATCAAAATTTGTTAATAGGCATTCAAAGTGATACAAAATGGTGGGAAGCCTCCTGGTGTTTTGAAGACTTTATTTGGTGTCATCTCTCATGTCAAGACCACAAGTAATGTGCAGAGCAACTGTAAGTCCATTTTTCCTGCATTTCTCAGATATTATTTTTTTGATGGCGGTTTGTGCCTTTGGCTTCAGGTATTGTTCTTCTGAAGTTTATGATTCTGATATAGTCTCTCCTTTAAAAGTGCAAGGTTATCGTGTCCTGTGGACCGGTATGGGAGCACAACTTGCTCGTGATGTTCCCTTCTCAGGAATATGTTGGGCAACCCTTGAGCCAGTAAGGATTCATTCTTCTGATTGCTTATTCTTTTGTCTCTTTACTTGCTTTAACAGAATCTTTTTTCTGTCCGAACAGCTCAGGAGAAAACTTCTTGGTCTGGTGGGTGATGAAGCCAGCGCACTCAATATCCTTGGGGCAAATTTTTCTGCTGCTTTTGTTGCAGGAAGCCTTGCTGCTGCAGCTACATGTCCGTTGGATGTTGCAAAAACCCGAAGGCAGATAGAGGTAATTTGCTTCTCTGTGTTCTGTTCTGAATGGATCTCTAGATAAGCAGGAACTTCTTTTGATGAAAATGTGGTGCTTATGAAAGTTTTGAAAACCACACAAAGGAAACCGAAAAAGTAAGAGTTTGATCCATTTACCAAACTTTTCAAAAACTGATTAGCTGAACAAAATCTAAGAAAAAAAATAGCATAGTGACGGTGCTGTTTGATGGTTCTGCACTTCTGCTTATGATAATAGCATTCGCAATTCCAAATGCATTTTTGGGCAAAATTATTGCACTTTTTTGTATATCTTTACTCTGCTCTTAACTATTTATTTTTGAAATTTAAATACCAGAACGATCCAATCAGGGCAATGAAAATGACGACACGGCAAACACTTCTGGAGATTTGGAGGTATCCCTCTAATCTATAAATTTTCTGACGATTTTTTTAGATCTTTCCTAGAAATGACACTTACATTATGTTTTATTTTGGTACAGGGGTGGAGGTTTGAAGGGATTGTTCACAGGAGTTGGCCCTCGTGTTGCCCGCGCTGGCCCGTCTGTTGGGATTGTGGTTTCCTTCTACGAAGTTGTGAAGTACGTTCTCCATCAGCAGTACGCAGCTTCATGATAGTGAGGCAGATTCATTTTTTCCCCTCTTATGATCCTTCGAATGTGTCCTTTGATGCGGCGTCCCGTGACTTTGCAAAGGATGAGGAAACGATTTTGATACGGAAGATCAGCTACAAGTTTTGCAGATACAAGAGATTTTTCCTCTAGTTTTGGATGTTTACATTTTTGCTCAGTATTGAGCAGACATAGATACGTTTAGGTTCTGCCGTTGGCATATTTGGCTAAATTTTTGGGTTAATTACGTTAAGCACCCTTAAGTTTGGGTGCGGTGGCATTCTTGTACTTCTTTAGAACATTGCAATGTCATATATAAACTTGTTAGTGGAAATGTCATATGTTTAGTCAATCAGTAAGACGTTAAATAATGATGTGGCAACTAGTGGATCTCACAATTTTACTGATATGGATGTCAAATTTGTGTCACGTGGACAAACAGTTTATTAAAATGATATTGGTGGTGCTATCACAGTTTGGATTAGGGTGATCTTATCCACACACCTTTAAGTAAAAGGCTGTTTTGCTATCACAGTTTGGATTAGGGTGATCTTATCCACACACCTTCAAGTGAAATGCCGTTTCTCTAAATTTTTCTTTTGATGCCTAGTTAGCATAAGGATGGTGTTATACACCTACTGATATGTGTAGGAGATTGAAAAGTGTGCAATCAACTGGTTCGTTCAGTACTGTTTTAGAAAGCACTTTTAGTCACATGTGCTTTTATTATAAATTTGCTAAAATTTTATTAGAATTTTTTTTTACGCTTATGAGTAAATAAAAAATGATGCTCTTATTTATCATCTCTCTTATAGAAATGAGACTCACATGCGTCGGCATGCTCTGTTTCTATTAAAAAAAGAGTACAAATATGTTGTAAATGTAGCATTACTAGAAATAATTTAAAACTCCGTACTTCTAAGTAAGTGATATGCTAAATTCTCGTATTCATTAATTCCTCAAACAAAATTACAAGGTGCATTAATAAAATCACATATCCGTTTTTTTTCTTCAATTACATCAAGAGTTGGTTGTCTAAATGACAAGACGCCACGGGACAAGTTTTTGAATGTGATAACCATATAGCTATATGATGTTACTACTAATTCACGCGTATAATATAAATGGACGAGAAAGTTAATTTATTATGGACCAAACTATATATTAATATACAAATATACATGTCATGATTGGATGTAGTGTATGCTTATTCTTTTCGATTACTTTTTTTATAAGCCACTTACTACTTTAAACAGTAAGTGCTTTAAGAAAGATTTGAATTCAGGCCTATATGGAGAATATGTTTGTTTTAACCAATGTGACTACATCAATTATATATTTTTTGGTCATATACAACCAAAGAAAAGCAAGAAATTTACTAAATAGAAAATGTTAGAGAGACCACAGTTTTAGACAATATTTTGTAAACTACATGATGCGACGGTTGATGTTTGGATTATTTTTTTAATGAGTTAAAGAAGTCCAACCATTTACCGCTATAGCACGTATAGTTTACAGAATATGGTTCAAATAGTTGATTTCTCTAACATCACAGTAAGCAAGTAAACTACATGAGGGACAATTTTTCTCTTAACTGCGTGGGCAAAACACATGCATCTAAAGACTCGCGCCTACAAGATGGCGCTGCCCATAGCCTCTCCTTCTGAACCTTCGTCATTCTTTGAGAAAGGAATTGCTGATGATTCCTTACCACATTAATTACTAAATTAGTGTACTAGTTGATGAGATTTAACGTTGGAGAACCATATACTTGGAAGAATATTTAACAAGAACCTGACCAAATTAGCAATACATCCTCAAATAAATTTACTCTACCCAATTTGGATTCTGATTTTACACCACATCACATCACACCCGCCCTAAATTTAAAACACCAAATCACACCGTCCATGTCCCTCCATCTCTATCATCATCGATCATCGGACGGTACAATTTAGTGGATGAGATATGTGAGCACTAGTGCCAGTAACATCAGACCGTATGCAATCCCTTGGTCTATTGCTGTCCCTGCAAAATAATTTATACAAAAAATAAAGCAATTAACAATAAAATTCATTAATTATAACGTATGATATCCCTTAATCTATTGCTTCTTTATTCGGTAGGGATTTTTTTTGTAAGATGCATTTTTATTCATAAGCTCTTTTAGAAGCATAATGTATTGAAAATTCAAATACTTCTTGAAAAACCACTATGCACACGACAAGTGCTTATCTAAAAAACACAAGAAAATGCTTTTAGTATTAAGGATGTAACATTTAGAAATGCTTATTTCAAAAGTACTTATGCTCATAAGCATTTTTACGCTTCTATTAAATGTACATCCAAATTTTTCATAAGAAGGTGTTCCTAAACGAATCACATGCTTTCTATTTCTATGTCTATTTTGTTTTTAGAAACTACGTGTAACCCAGAAGCCACTCAAAAGCATGAGAGCTTATTAATCCAAAATACTTTTAATTTTTTTATGTCAAACATTGTTAGAAGTGTTTTTAGATAATTAAAAGCACTAGTAACTATTTCAAAATCACATCCAAAACATTCCTTTGGTTATTTATTTATGTCAAACATTATCAAAGCGTTTTTTGTTATCTAAAAGCTCCAAAAAAGACATTTAGATACCAAAAAGCAATTCCCAAACATACCTCAACACCTAAAAATGGGATCAATGCAAAAAAGAGTATGAAAACAAATGAAACATCACATAAACATGTCATCATGAATACAAAATGAGAGAAATGTAATATAAGAGCTAATTACCATCGCTTGTTAATGCCGGTGCCGGTGCCGGTGCTGGAGCCAACCTGGTCGCATGAGCCATGGGCAAAACGACAGCGTAAAGGACGGCAATAATTGCAACAACTCCAAAAGATAACGAGTTCATTGCCGCCATCTTTTCTCCCCTTCCTCCTCCTCTCTTTGTTTAACGTTTGAAGATCTCCTTTAAACAAGGAGACATCAACAACAACGATAACCTAGAGAGGGAGAGGGAGAGAGAGAGAGGAAGAGAGAGAAAATCTAATCACTATTAACCAATTAAATTATGAGACTAATCAAATAGCTTAAAGGGAGGCCCAAGGGTAGTGAAATTCTGGATCGACAACGTTCTGCTTTTATAGCCAATTCTTGTGCATGGCCGATTGTGGGGTCAAACCGCATCTTTAGGGGACCCACCAACCCATGTTTACCCTTCATCTTCTTTTTTCCTTAATAATTCTGCTAAATATACACCTTGTTTGTTTGTGTGTTTAGGATTAGTGTTTGATAACGTTGTAAAACTATAACAAGCTGTATTTGGGATTGAGAGACAGACTGTATTGCATTTGTCCATTTAGATTTATTTCTAATATTGTTGTGCTAGAGTACTTGTTCTTTGAAATTTTTGAATCCGAACATCTGTATTATATAATCAACTTCAATTGTAAGTGATATTTGTATTTTGGTCTCACCAAAATACCTAACCCTACGTTTCTGTGACCCTGTTGTTTGCTACCCTATAAAATGGATGTAAAGCTAAGCACATTGATTCTTCTCCAAAAACAACGGACTATGGCGTGTTGGTCGGAAGAGATGTGAATCCTCTGGTCCAGCGGATCTCTTGAGTCCTCGAGTTTATTTATGGCATTAAAGAACTAAAAAAGTAAATATATATATATATGGGAGAGAGAACCCTAATCTTAGTAGATTAAATGATCTCGAATCTCACCACGCATTACCAATATTGACACGTGAGCTAGAGGCAGGATCAATCAAATTAAGAGTTGTAGAGTAGGTCGAGATATAGCCAGTAACCATCAAAACATATATAAAACACATAACATCATCAGAGATCATCAGCTAGCTTAGCCAGATAGTACTAAAATATATGTTTAGTCTCACAAGAGAAACAAGTTTAGCTAGCCTGCTATATATAGACCCTTAATTTTACAAATGCTGTGGAAGCAGCTAGAACTACTGTTTCAACGGAGGCCATAGGAAAGCTCCCATGGCAAACTTCCTCTTCTGCTCCACACTTCCGACAACCGGAAGCCCGTATTCAGCCAGAAGGCGGTCGAGGTTCCCTTCCGGCATGGTTTCGTAGTCGGATTTCGAATACGTTGGGTAGTGCAATGGCATTTTAAAGAACACACCACATTTCTCCCCCTCTTGATCTGCTCTTCCTCTTCTGCCCACTTGAAAACTAGTAACTGATGACTCCATACCGTACGGGATATAAAACACACGTAACAGGTGACCTTTTATAAGAAGGAGAATGGTGAAACCCTAATTTAAAATTCAGAACGATTCATTTTCTCGGGAATTTTATAGTGACTAAGGCAAGGAGCAAGATCTAGTGAGTTGTTGGAGTAGTTGAATATAGTCACCAACTACAATCTCATTTTCCATACTTCCAAGGGCTTGTCTGCTACGTGGCAGCTGCCCATCTCACACTGTAGGAGGAACTTTGCAAGCATGTAGTTATGCAGGTGCACAGAAACAATAGGAAATGGGGAAATCTTCTGTCAGGCTGCTGATGGCAGACCAATTTTATAAATCACAAGATTTCTCGTATTTTGGTCTCACTCCTACAAAAAAGAGAGAATTTTTAGTAACATTCCAAGCTTGGGGTTAGATTGTTCTCCGGGAACACTACTTGGTTGTGCAAGGGGGCTAATGTTATTAAGGCACGTGCCCCTCTCAAGTTTTTGAGCTACAAAAAAGTTGGCCCGAGCAGAAACTAGAGGTACACTTATATTGTAGTCGTTTTACGTCACTTAATACGATGTTAAATTGACGTACAACGAATAATAAACTCATCACCATCAACTTTGTCACTCGCTTCTCAACCAAACTATCAAGAGGCGAATATAACATTCATAAAAGTCTCATTAACCTCCGTTTTTCCATATATCTAATAAATTTGACCTCTCAATTTTATACATATATGATTTATCTTTTTGTCATTATAACAATACTAACCTAAGGATATAATTAAAATGGTACAAAGGGTGAGAATGTGCGTTAATAACCAAATAGGTATGGGTTGACAGAGTACTCGATAACTTCACTTTAAAAAAATTGAAAGATTGCCTGAGTAAAATAAACTTCTTTTATTTGATAATGGCTCTAATTACAGGTAAATTAAGAGATTGAGCATGAGCTTAGATAATATATGTCTTCTTTTTGTGGCTCTGCGCAAGCTATTATTGGGATTCCACTAGGACAAGCATCCGCCACAACTTAGTTGTGCCCCCAGTGGACGAACTTTCTAGCATGAGCTTAGATAATATAATTGTTTAAACGCACGATGAGGCATGCTAGGTTTGGGACATCACCGCCTTCATGCTCCTTTTTATTCAAGTCTACCTCTTGAGGAGAGAGATTTACATGAAACGCGAACATCAAGATGTTGATATCTCTGACTCTGACCAATCAGAGTCGGCCATATAGCTAAGTTTAAACATGTGCACATACTAGGTTTGGAGCTACATTTGCGTCCCTCTTTCAAGTCCTCATGCGTCCCAAGCTGGGTAGCATGATTCATTCTTGGCGAAATATAAATGACCACGAAAGGCGAAAGAAATTGGAAACTATCTGGGTAAATGCAGATGTGGACACAAAACACCCGACGTTAATAACGTTAAGTGACCTAATTTTTTCAGACATTCCTAATTAGATGTTATATACAAATACAACCGCCATTATCAATTGAAACCAAAAGGACCTAGATGTTTACAAGCATTTGGAAACCCTCTGGTTGGTCTCTGGAAGCACTTCTGGCAGAGGATCTGGACTAGTAATATCCCCCATCAAAATGGTAGAAAGAGAGGATCCTCTTCGTTCTTGTAGATTTCGAACAGTTGCTTAGAGTAACGATTCGCCAATGTTCTACACGTTTCAATGCCGTTCGCGTCATATGCCTGCAACTCCTCCACAGTTCTATTGAGATCTTCGTTCGGGTCTCCGTTGGTGAGAAACTCGGCCAATAAAGATCCCCTGTGAAATGGGAGAACAGAAAATCAGCAACAATATAATTGAAGGAACACGTAGAATCAATAATTTAATCCTATAAATACATAAATCACAATTCAAATTCTTACTTGAAAGCATCGAACTTGCTAAAACCACGACCATTGGTGCATAATGATTCCTTGCTATATTGTTCTTCAGAAGTCTGCTGTCGATAAAGAGCACATACAGCTTTCATGCACAGCTCCGGATCCTTACCAAATGCAGAAAGCATGTCTGCCTCAAATTCCCACTTCGATTTCTGATCTTTGTTCCTCTGAAATTTTGATAGAATCTTATCAAAGTCCACATCGTCATCTGAGGAACCTTCTGACTTTGTAGAAGCATCATGAGCATCAGAAACATCAGAATCATCTTGAACAATAAATCCACCCAAGCTTTCACCTTCACCTTCCGACCCAACCTCTTCCAAGTCATCATCTTCAACATCCTCATTTGCCAGATTTTCTTGATCATATTTAGTTTCACTAGTCTGAGTTGAATAGTCTTCTCGTGCACTGCCTTTTTGCCCCCATTTCCTCAAGCTAACAAGATGCCGCCTGGGAGAACTGACAGTACCCATGGCATTGTCAACCTCAGAAGCAGTAGCAGTCACTGAGCTGTCATTGAGATCAGATCCTACTTTGTCACGTATAACTTCCTTAAAATGCATTTCCTTGAGTTTTGCAATCGGAATATCATCATCACTACTTTCAGAGTCACTAGTAACAATATTAAGAGCACGTTTCCTATTGGGTTTTGAGGCAGGCAGAAAAACCTCATTGATATTATCAGTATCTTCATCAACATTTTGTTCAGGATGTGTCCGCTCACAGTTTTTTGTAGTCATATCCATTTCACAACCCAAAGTTTCTCCTAATACTGAACCCGACAAAATGGTGACCTTCTGCTTTTCTGATTATCTGCAGGCAGAAGTTCATCATCACTATCAGTAATATTGACGACAGCGAGAGAAGAAGGTATGCCACCACCAGGCGTGGATGGAGCCATCTTCTTACAAGGACTCCCCTCTTTGTCAAATGCCAACCGTTTCCTAGCTTGTCTGCTTTTAGAATATTCCATATCAGGCTCTACATAAACACCTTTCTTCTCTCCCTCAATACCATCCCAATGCTTACATGGTGTGTCATTGCACGGAGTGCCTGCCATGGATTGAAACCTAATGTTATGTAATGGATGCAACTTCATAAGAGAATAATTGCATTCATTTTGGGAACGTGAAAACATATAATTGTGTAATGTGAGTTTTCTTCAAGGAAAATGAATGCTTCATGCTTCTTGTTGTTAAGATAATGCAGCTAATGCTGATATTCATTCAAAACTTTGTACGCAAGGTTGACTAATTATACAAAATTGCACATATTCTAATAACAAATTCGAAAAACACTTGAACATCGATTCATTAATTTCGTCAAACAATTTGTTTGAGAAGGGGAACAGGACAGACTAAAGTAGATACTAAATCACCATGGTATATAGGTGAGTAGTGTAATTTGCTTCATACCTGCTGACTGCATATTGCCGATCTCATTACCAAGGGGGAGACATGCAGAGCGAACATCCACCACATCTACAGCCATATCTTTATCTCTCAAATACTCAAAGCCACTTTCAACTTGCAATTCATCTGGAAGTTTAATCCTGTTATTCAGTTGCACGGTCCCTCTGCCTTCAAGAGAATCCACAATTGGCGATCCTATCCCTGCCACCTTCATCCTTCCAGCCAGCGGCAATTCCCCGCCTTTCAAGACCGAATTCTTGTCCAACTTTAGCATCATCAATTCCAGGTCCTTGAACTTTTGCTTCCAAGCCTCAACATCGCTTTCAGCCTTTTTCTTCTCACACTCCAATACCTCAATCTCAACCATAAGCTGAAAGACCTCATCTTCCTCCTCGTTCTCCTCCGTCAGATCACCAATTCCCTCCCCATTTTCTCCCCCACAAGTTTTCTTCTTTTCATCCCCACCACTCTCCCTCTTCAAAGCCTTAATCTCTTCTTCCACCGCAATCTTTTCGCGTTCCAGTGCCCGAAACTTGGCCTCCAGAGCTTCATACTCACTCTGTCTCTTCACAATCTCCGATTCTAACTCCACACATCTCTCCTCGGCTCTCTTACTCCTCTTCTCCAGTTCATTACCCCCACAACCATCCAAACCTTTTCGACAACCGACGCCGCCAACATCCTCACATTCCACTACCTCCATAACCGCCCTAACCTCATAGAAAAATCCTACCTTTCAAAATCAAGAATTTCAGAAATCACCTCACCATTGCAGCGTTCAGAAATCGAAGATTTGGAGACAAAAATTATACAAACAAAGTTCCATTCTTTCAAGAAAAAATGATCAACTTTTCGCTTTCAAGCAACAAAAAAATATTTTCATTGTAAGATGCAAGAAATGCGAACTTACTTTGCAGCAGAAACTGGAGATTTGCAGCAGAAATTGGAACAGCAGCGGCAGAATCCGGCGATCGGAGCAGATGCTCGATTAGGGTTTTACTGATTCTGCAAATGGAGTGTGTGTGAGAGAGAAGAAGCGTCCCAAACACACAATAACTGAAACGCAAGGCGGGCGGAGGCGCGAATAGCCGCCACGTGTCAAACTGTCACAACGGTCGGTTTTCCTTATGAACAGAATAAAATTGAAGATTGGTCCTTGGACAATAACTGAATTGTAGGTTGGCCTTTAAATTTAAAATAAATTTCATTTGTTATCTGAATTTTGCATACGAAATGTACACTAATGTGTTAAAAGATTAATAATTCACATTTTACATAAGTTTGGAGTGAATTTTAAAGGGTTTTTATCTCCAATGGTCTCTGAGATTGACCAAACTCATTATTTTGATCCATCACTTTCAAAAGCAATCAATATCGTTCATGATATTCAACACCGCATATTAATTTGGTCATTCTGTTTAGATTCTGTCAACTATTTATGATAGTTTGCATGTACGACCTACAAATCCAATAAAATGGTGACACGTGGATTACACAAAAGAAGGGTTTATCACAAATGGTCATTGACATTGATCAAACTCCTCATTTTGGTCCCTGAGTTTCAAAAATCAATAAATTTGGTCCCTGACTTTCACTATCGCACATCAATAGAGTCATTCCATTAAAATTTTGTCAATATTTTTTTGTTAATGTGTTGATGTGGTCCCACTAGTCCAATCTAAATTAGATAAAATCGAATCCAAATTCAATTCAAATTTGATAGGATTATAACCAACAAGATAGAATGAGAAGTAAGTTCACGGAGGACAAGAGCTTTAGTTGTGTCATGGTGCGTTCCTTTTCTTTTTGAGCATACCTAGATGAAGACCATGATGTTTTTTTTTTCTTTTAGTTTTTGTTTTTAATTTCTTATAGTACTTTTAGTTTTTATAATTAATCCATGTGGCGCCATATGATTGGATCATATTATCACACTAACAAAAAAATTTGACGGAATTCATATTTGAAATTCAAGGACCAAAATGAGGAGTTTGATCAATGTCAGAGACCATTTGTGATAAAAACGCTTCTTTTGTGTAATCCATGTGTCACCATTTTATTGGATTTGTGAGTCCTACATGCAAACTAACAGAAATAGTTGATGGAACCTAAACGGAAAGACCAAATTGATGTGCGGTGGTGAATGTTAGGAATGACATTGATTGATTTTGAAAGTGAGGGACCAAAATGATGAGTTTGGTCAATCTCAGGGACCATTGGTGATAAAAACCGAATTTTAAAATGGGTCGTAAAGTTTTAATATTTTTATTTTGCACAATAAGATTTTGAAATTGTATAAATTTCTTCTTTCAATCAGATTGATAGTTTAATATTTCATTAAATTGATGACACGATGAGTGTGGCTGCGTGCGACTCTCATACGAGTTAACGTATAAGTCACATTTGTAACATATTGACAAAACAAAAACTCGTGAGTTTAACAGAGTATATATTAAACCTTCAAAGAGACAATTAAACTGATACAATTTCAAAATCTAAGAGTATGAAGTGAAAAAATTAAAACTTTATGGAACATTGGGACTAAAATTGCAATTAGATAGTAATTGAGGACCCATATTACAATTAGATAGCTCAACTGCGCGTTGCCATCACTAAATTTTCCCGAGCAACAAACGGAAACTAGAAAGAATGAAACTTTTCCGACATCTCAGGTAATACTCAATCCCTACTCGCAGGAAAACCTTAATTTCTTCGACTGGAGTCGGGCTTATGAGAAATGTGGGGCCCGAAAGAGGCTTTTGCGCGCGCTCAGAGGACTCCGAGCTTATCATTTTATGCTTTTATCAGTGAGAATTTACATTGTGGAGTATTGGTAAGGGGCATGTAGCCGAATTCACAAGATTATTTTTTCTCTGTCAGTTCTGTTGTAGCATCTGGGCATCTTATAATGAAGATTGTTTTCACTTTGCATTTTCTATGTGTACTTTTCATGTAAGGTGCTGTTTGAATACATGCTGATGCTTTGTGTACTTTTTCCAACACCATCACCTCACATATATGATGACGATAGTGTCAAAGTGGACAGTGTTAATACATAGAAGAGAAAAGATTAGAACTAATTTATTTTCACACAAGTGATGATATCAGGAGAGAGAGAGAGAGAGAGAGAGAGAGAGAGGGAGAGAGAGAGAGAGAGAGGGAGAAATCAAGCGCAAAATGCAAGAATGCTTTTAATCAATAGATAAATGTTAACTAATTGATTAATCAACAAGGGCACTCATGCTTTTTTGTGTTTGAGACGTTCTCTTGGAACAGTTTGGAGTTTGGACCTAGGCGCTTAATAAAATGAACAACCTGTACATCTCACTGATCGTCATTCGCTACGAGCAAACTAATTAAAAAGCGATCATTCAAAGTTTTTTTCTTTTTGTTTTGGACAGAAAATTTTGAACAGAAAACATAGGCCGAAGTAGCAATGGCATTCAGGCTACACCAAACAAGGAATCTCCACATATGCATGCATTGCATGTTTATAGTTTGTCCAATAATATTTTATTTTAATTTTGGCATATATACATTCGTTCTCATCAGCTTGGAATCTAAAGGGGCCTACTGTCAACTTTGTTGCTCAGTTGATCTCCTGTATAATCTATATATACTTTTTCTTCCAAAACATAAACAGTAATGTTTCATCCAAATTTGAAACCCTAATTGTAAAATGCATGTGAAAAGTTTAATTGTCAGTTTGCTGCAAAGGAGAGAGAAATATATGATATTTGTTTTATCTATCCATAAAAGAGAAGAGACGCAGATGAACACACACTGCAGAACTAATACAATATGATATTAGCTCAAATGAGTGAGGAGGAACGGGGAGGTGCACCAAAATTAAGCTCCCAACGGCAATGGGAGCAGAGAGGATGGAGACATGACGCTCCAAAATTAAAATATGGGACACACAAAATCTAACATATATTAATATTCATAAATATATGCAATCAAAAATCAAGATTTTAAGATGCATGGTTGGCGCCCCTAATTGAATTATCCGACAGATCCATCTCAACGTGACCCACAATTCCCAACAACCCCCAGAGATCTCGACCCCTTACCGGCGTGGAACACGAGGAAGAAAATGGTGGATACTGTAGACAATATATCCTTAATACTACAACAATTTCATGATGAGATGAGTTCAGTGAGAAAACAAAAGAACATAAATTTGGTTGGATGTATTCATTTGAGATTTTGAAAAGTTTTTAATGACTTTCAAGACTTAACAAATCATGTTTCTCCCCTGAGATTTTAAGACTTAATATGTCATGTCTCTCCCCTCGGGATTTTGAGGAAGGATAATACTTGCATTTCCCATAGTGAAATGTAAATATCTCACTTTTTGTGAATAACGTATCTTCATGTTATAATTTTTATAAACTGAACTATTCAACTTGTTAATCTTCATTTGAAAATCATTTAATACAAAGATCGTTTATGCATCTAAATGTGTATATCGAACAAATATACACGGTGTGAGTACCAAGTAATGTATTCGTGATGAACTGTCCATTTATTTGATACATTTGAATTACTAAATGATCTCTGGTTCAAAAAAATTTTTGTACGAATGTTCTTCAAATGAAGATTAATAAAGGGGTGTGATATTCACACACATCTTTTTACTTCTCACACAACCTTCAAATTTTTGGACGTCAAATCAGATGAATTGAAGAAGGTCAAGTAACAGAAATAAACAAAGAGTGTGAGCTTCGACAAAAAAAAAAAAAAAAACAAACAAACAAACAAAAGGTGTGTGAGAAATAAAAAAAGTGTGTGGATAACACATCCCTTAATAAATTGAATCATTCCAAACATGGATAGATATTCGAGATATGTGCATGCCCCCAAAAGAGAATGCAGTAGTATCCTTTGAGGGATTCCAATACATTCACATGGAGTCACTCATAATCCACATAACATCTATAAAGATCCATTAAAGCTTCATCAACCACCGTAGATTTTTTTTTTTTTATCTTTATTTTCAAATAAAAACCCCTAAATATATATGTAATAGGGGTGGACTGTGGACTGTGCGGAGTAGTAATGTTTCTCTCATACATTGCGTGGGTGTTATAAATTGTATGTGGAGGGTATATTGAATGAGTTTGCAGATTTGGAAGTAAATGAAGTTTGAGGAGGAGGGTCCCAACGTATTGATTCTTGCAAACTTTGTTTTAAAATTTTGTCCTACATTCTCATTCATTTTTCTCTGTAGGAAGATATAAATGATGAATAGTGGTATGTTCCAATTCATTTACAAAATTTAAACAGATCGATGCTGGTTCATGCAGAACTTATCTAGATCGGGTAAATCTATATCATACGTAGCAGGCTGTCGGAACCTATCTAACTTCTCTAGCTATGAAATTAGAAATGCACTACTGTTATTAGTATAAATGTACACCTAAAAAGCAAAGATTCTGAATAGTATTTTGATTGAAATTTGAAACATGTTTCATTTGTAGGGAACTTTATGCATTGTTATGTGTTACTGTTTTCAGTATATAAATGCGCACCAAACGAGAAGTTCGATCGATTATAATTTGGTTGAAATTTGAAACAAGTTTGTGTAATCTCGTTTCTTTAGGTCTTCAGCCAGTGACCTACAGAGTTATGGTCACTCACCGTTAACATAAATTAAAACAATAAAAATACGTTCATTTGTTTTCCACTTTTGATTTCAAATGTATAGGTGAGTGACTATACATTTATTTCGTTATCAGGTTACCAAAAGAACACGTATGTTGTAATTTGTGTGTTATTATATGAACGAATGGATGCCTAGAAAAAGAAGAGCTAAGTTGAACAATAATTTGGTTGAAAATGTGAAAACAACAATTTCTGGAAATAAAGATTCTAAGGTATATATTTCAGACTATTTTAGGGTATAGTTTTGGCTTTTATAGGAAAACAAGATATACACACACACACATATAAATTCGTCAAAAAAATATATAGAGAGAGAGGGGTTAATTACTTAAACGCATGAAATAAGTGTCCATAATTCCATAAAAACAAGCAAATTAACTTAAATCTACAAGAATGAGTAAAGATTTCATTTTCTTC